ATGGTACTACGTAGCGGCCATGCATTGACACTTTGTACAGAGTATCACATATTGCGGTGGGAATCACATATTGCGGTGGGAAAAGTTCGGATGAAACTCGGGATCAGGGTGAAGGCGCCTGGAGCGCTCAACACGCGTGATCCTGTCTGAGATCAAATTGGCCTCACTTGGAAACTTGCAAACGTAAATATCAGCTGCTCTTTGTGCAGATGGAGGACATGTAGGACACAGAAGCCCTGGTAGAGAGCGTTCCAAGCCCTCGTGTTGGGGCCGCATCATTCACCATGCACATCTCGGTTCTGATAGCGTACTTATGTGTACCACAATTTGATGTGCCGCAGTATTGGCCGACGGGCGTCTTCTGTCACGAAGAGAGCAGACACGTCACGTTGCTGAGGGCCGTACTGCCGGACTCCTTAACTTTGCTCGGGAAGATGGCCTTGCTCTCCTCCTTTCACTTCTCATTCCCGTCCAACATCTTATCGACTGCTAGAGGGATCGTTTGATCAGTCACTCGCCTCGCCAACACCTGCGCACCTGTCCAAGCCATCTCTCTTCTTGCTCCACTTGCACTGGACCGCTCCGCAGTTCCCAGAACGACTCGCTTCCACTCCGTCGCGTTGCAGGGCCACCGTTTAACTATACAGGCCAAAGGGCTAACCCGCGGCCGCCACTCACAGCCCGAGTCCTACCTCTACACCCATCGATCTGGTCAACCCACACTGACTCTACGCATAATGAGCACCCTATCTTCCGTACAGTCTGCCCAGCGCGCGCGCATCGGCCTCGGCCCTCTCCTCTCCTAAACACGGCTGCTCACAGGCTATCGAGCGTAGGTAGAGGAGCTGCGCCTCACGCTAGACCCACAGGCGGATGCAGAGCGCTATGACGACGTCGCAGAGGACCTGAATGACATCCTGCCTCTGTGGACCGCACTCATACCTGCCGAACGGCAGGCGTATACCGATGAGGAAGAGGAAAGTGGCTAAGAAGTGTAGCGGCACCGGCACCGACTGCGCAAAAATCACCAGAGTGGAAGCGCGAGACGCCGGCACATGCGTTTCTCGACCTCTCCAGCCAGATCGGGGAAAGCTAGGTAAACGTGTCCATAAGGCGGTGCAATGGAGCAGAAGCCAATAGGCTGGTAGCGTGAGCAGCAGTCCATCAATCGAGGCTCAGCTCGATCTCCTGTAAGTGAACAACCGGGCGATACGAAAAGCTCAAGAAAGGGGTAATCTGAATATCTTGGTTCTCTTTCCAAACAGCAACTTCCTCGCTCGCAACAAGGCTCTATCCCATTTCGAAGACATCACCTACACTTCGCCTGCATCCGCCAGGACCAGCGCCTCTCTTCGCCTCGACACCCTTCAGTCTTAAACTAGCTCCGCTCTCGCGCGCTACGTCGCGCACCTCGATGCGCTGCGCTCAACGCAAGATGACGCTATAGACGGCGATACCAACGCTACGAACGAAGCGAGCGAAGAGTTGAACGGTGCCACCCTCGGCGCACCGCGCTCGACCCGGAACGCCTTGCGCAATATTACTAACAGCCGCTGTCGGCAGCGCTCGCGCGGCGGGCAGCCCAGAATCTGCTCCAGTTGAATGAGGAGATTAACAGTAAAGCGAGGCACGTCGTTCCTGGCCTCAAGGCGCTTCTCGCCAAAGAGAAGGAAAGCAGCAGAAATGCATCAGTCGCTGCGGCCGACACGGTGACCTAAGTCGCATTTATGTGAGTAGCAATGTCGCACACACCGACTCGCGGCTCGTGATTCTCTGCTGATCTCACACATGTTCCTTCCTTGCGTGTATAGAATTCCTTGCTGCTGGATCACGTGGATCCCGCTCAGCGCTATTGGTATTGGCATAGGATAATACCTCCAACGTTCAGATCTGCTTCGCTGTTGGAATTTGCAGCTTACAATTTCTTGCGCTTGCGACCGGCATGCACGAGCATCTACGATGCACCACTTCCACACCCTTGACTCTTCTCTGGGATCCATAAAGCAGACCCAATTTGTCCATCGAAAGGTAGAGATCAATGGGCTTGCCTTCTCGCCCAGAAACGGCGCAGCTCCGTCACTTGAGAAAACGAAGTGCCTGGAAATGTGTGGCCTATCGATCGCGACTTACATCCAACTCGCGCCAATTGATTCTACGGCTCCTTATCTTAATCTCAATCTCGAACGACGTTGACTGGAAAGCATATGTCTTACCGTTCATTCTTCACAGCGAAGCCTCGCCTTTCCAACCTGTTCAGTCAATCTCCTAGGGGATGATTTCGGACTGTACACCATCCAACTTCCCGACCATTGCCCTGGTAGCCGTCTCGGTGGCACTGAACATCTGGCATGAGATCACCCAGAGAAGGATCATCAGAGTC